AGCATACGGGGAAAAGTACCATCTGTGTGCTGCGTGCCAACAGCATACGGGGGAAAGTACCATCTGTGTATTGTGTGCCAACAGCATACGGGGAAAAGTAGCATCAGTGTGGTGTGTGCCAACAGCATACGGGGGAAAGTACCATCTGTGTGCTGTGTACCAACAGCATACGGGGGAAAGTACCATCTGTGTGCTGTGTACCAACAGCATACGGGGGAAAGTACCATCTGTGTGCTGTGTACCAGCAGCATACGGGGGAAAGTAACCTAAAATATCAATAAACTTTAATAAATCTATATATTTTGACAATCGCATTAGTCAATAAAATGTGTCTCAAGTGTCCAATCAAATAAAAAGAATTATTTGACACTAATAGCTGTAACAGTTCAGAGACAGAGGACTAAAGTATGGTCAAGTAGAAAAAAAAAACTCGTTGAAAATAACACTGTTGTATATTTGTGTAAGTATCACGCCTTCCTCACATGTATGTACCTAGTACTCTTTATACAATAATTCGACTCTAAGTGCGAAATAAATACACGTTTTTCTTACGTTATGCTTCGGTAAACGGGTCTTGAAATGGGAAATGGGAAGCCTTAAAGAAATGATCAACAGATCAAATGCATGGCTAGATGATGTTATTTTTTTTCAGCAGGACAATCGCAATCCCCTATAACTGTTCTATATGTTACATGTTACTTTTCTAAATGTTACCTGTAACTGTTCTATATGTTACCTGTAACTGTTCTATATGTTACCTGTAACTGTTCTATATGTTACCTGTAACCGTTCTAAATGTTACCTGTAATTGTTCTATATGTTACCTGTGGCTGTTCTATATGTTACCTATAATTGTTCTATATGTTAACTGTAACTGTTATATATGTTACATGTAACTGTTCAATATGTTACCTGTAACTGTTCTATATGTTACATGTAACTGTTCTATATGTTACCTGTAACTGTTGTATATGTTACATGTAACTGTTCTATATGTTACCTGTAACTGTTCTATATGTTACCTGTAACTGTTCTATATCTTACCTGTAACTGTTCTATGTCTTACCTGTAACTGTTCTATATGTTACCTGTAACTGTTCTATATCTTACCTGTAACTGTTCTATGTCTTACCTGTAACTGTTCTATATGTTACCTGTAACTGTTCTATATCTTACCTGTAACTGTTCTATGTCTTACCTGTAACTGTTCTATATGTTACCTGTAACTTTTCTCTATGTTTCCTATAACTTTTGTACATGTTAACTGTAACTGTTGTATATGATACCTGTAACTGTTCGGTGTGTTACCTTTGACTGTTCTGTATGTTACCTGTTACAAACCTACTTGTTACCTTCAACTGTTCTATATTTTACCAATAACTGTTCTATATCTTACCTGTAATTGTTATATATGTTACCTGTAACAGTCCCACATGTTACCTTAAACTGTTCTATATGTTACCTGTAACTGTTCTATATGTTACCTGTAACTGTTCTATGTCTTACCTGTAACTGTTCTATATGTTACCTGTAACTTTTCTCTATGTTTCCTGTAACTATTGTACATGTTAACTGTAACTTTTCTCTATGTTACCTGTAACTGTTCTATATGTTACCTGTTACTTTCCTATATGTTACCTATAACTGTTCTATATGTTACCTGTAACTGTTGTATATGTTACCTGTAACAGTCCTACATGTTACCTGTAACTATTCTTTATGTTACCTGTAACTTTTCTCTATGTTACCTGTAACTGTTCTCTATGTTACCTGTAACTGTTCTATATGTTACCTGTAATTGCTCTAAATGTTACCTGTGACTGTTCTATATGTTACCTATAACTGTTCAATATGTTACCTGTAACTTTTCTCTATGTTTCCTGTAACTGTTGTACATGTTAACTGTAACTGTTGTATATGATACCTGTAACTGTTCGGTGTGTTACATGTGACTGTTCTGTATGTTACCTGTTACAATCCTACATGTTACCTTCAACTGTTCTATATGCTACCAATAACTGTTCTATATCTTACCTGTAATTGTTATATATGTTACCTGTAACAGTCCCACATGTTACCTTAAACTGTTCTATATGTTACCTGTAACTGTTCTGTATGTTACCAGTTACTTGTTACTATAGATTAACAATATATTTTTAAAATATCACTGTACTAGAGCTGACATGAAATAGTAGGTATGTATTACAGCTGGACAACGCTCAGTATTTAGCTGCTCTGTAATGGCATCTCTAATGGAGAATTACTAGGACAGGAGTGGTCTATCAAATTGATTTGTATTTTGAGAATACTCACGGTAGAATCCGATCAGTATTGTTATTTATTATCACTTTTCCTAATCTGCTTCCAGCATCCTTTACAATCCCGTTACGATATTGTTATTCGAAATGTAAATTTATTTACTTGTAATTTAAGTCCGTGTTTTGTTAGCTTCCTGAATACTGCTTTGTTCATTTGTGGATGGCCCTGTTGGAACTCACATTACACTATTATAATCTATAACACGTTCATCAACTTGTTGTTTTGGCTGTTATCACATTGTTTAAAGGCTCTCGCTAAAGAACCTGTCCTTTCTCAGTTAAACAAAGCAACATTTGTCCAACATATTCCTACTGAATGTTAAAATAGTTTTAGGATGTAATACGTTGTTACATAACTGAGATTGTAACTGTCCTATATGTTATCTGTAACTGTTATGTATGTTACCTGTAACCGTTCTAAATGTTACCTGTAATTGTTCTATATGTTACCTGTAACTGTTATGTATGTTACCTGTAACTGTTCTATATGTTACCTGTAACTGTTCTATATGTTACATGTAACTATTATGTATGTCACCTGTAACTGTTCTATATGTTACCTGTAACTGTTATGTATGTTACCTGTAACTGTTCTATGTCACCTGTAACTTTTCTATATGTTACCTGTAACTGTTGTATATGTTACCTGTAACTTTTCTATATGTTACCTGTAACTGTTCTATATGTTACATGTAACTATTATGTATGTCACCTGTAACTGTTCTATATGTTACCTGTAATTGTTATGTATGTTACCTGTAACTGTTCTATATGTCACCTGTAACTTTTCTATATGTTACCTGTAACTGTTCTAAATGTTAATTGTAACTGTTCTATATGTCACCTGTAACTTTTCTATATGTTACCTGTAACTGTTCTATATGTTACCTGTAATTGTTCTAAACTTATTCCATTATGGGGCTTGTTCACCTCTCTGTGTAGATTTGGACACTTTATTTGATCCCTCTAGATCTTCCACAGTCGCCTCCTTGGTTTACTATTAAAGCCCTTATAATCACTGGCGAGTCCTAGAAGGACGAAACAGCTGTATGATGTAACATCACTGACGAGTCCTAGAAGGACGGAACAGCTGTATGATGTAACATCACTGACGAGTCCTGGAAGGACTAAACAGCTGTATGGTGTAACATCACTGACGAGTCCTAGAAGGGCGAAACAGCTGTATGATGTAGCACTAATGACGAGTCCTAGAAGGACGAAACAGCTGTATGATGTAGCATTAATGACGAGTCCTAGAAGGACGAAACAGCTGTATGATGGACCATCACTGACGAGTCCTGGAAGGACGAAACAGCTGTATGATGTAACATCACTGACGAGTCCTGGAAGGACTAAACAGCTGTATGATGTAACATCACTGACGAGTCCTAGAAGGGCGAAACAACTGTATAATGTAACATCACTGACGAGTCCTGGAAGGACGAAACAGCTATATGATGTAACATCACTGACGAGTCCTGGAAGGACAGAACAGCTGTATGATGTAACATCACTGACGAGTCCTAGAAGGACGAAACAGCTTTATGTTACAATAACTTATTTTAAATCTATATTGAAAGTGTCATTATGGAAATGCTGACCTTTCAACTTGCGCATGAAAATGTTACAGGAATTACGTTTGCCAAACACATGGATTTGTTTAATTTTTAATGCACACGGCAATGTCTTTTCTAATAAATGAAAAATGTAAATACATTTTCTCTCAATATTCAAATTATACATTATAGATATTTCTAATATAGTAAAAACAAAATAATTACCCAGTATGCATTGCTTTTACACTGTGTCGTCGGCAACATCAACGCTGATAACGATGGCGATATCAAAATATATGGAAGATTAGACTTGCTAAACGACATGTTTAATTCTTCATCTGAACGAATGAACACTTTCGACATCTCTGAGTAGAAGGATTTAAGCAACATAGACGTTTATCAGATGTATGTTATGTTACTATCACACTAAAAAATGGAACCTTTTGTCGCCGTGGAGGATAATTTTCAATTTCCGTGGTCGTTCTACTCCTTAAATCCCCTCCAACCAATAGCTGACTTTTCCCGGAGCTATTTTGTCACGTTCTAAGGAGGATTGCCTTACAGTAAAGTTTGATAGAAACACACTGACGTATAAATTATGGAATTGGATTTTACTTTTATGTTAACTATGTTTTAACGGAATAATTCCTTTAGGCATGTATTCTAAATTGGGCGCTAAAAAGATTCTTCTTTAAATATGTGCGTTATTCATTGGTTGTATCTCTCTTCCAACGCGGCATGAACAATGACGTTGGGAAAATAAGGCTTTTGGAGGAAAACAAGAATTATTTTCATGTTAAAGTATGAAATGCTTCATGGTGTATTAATTGATAGTGTATAAGAAAATCTCCAAAATAAAACGGGTGTCTATCGACTGGAAATAACATACGGAGTCACAGTTATCAGCAAGATTACATTGGAGTTTTTTTGTTATCGAAATGTATCCCTTTTTGTAAAGATAAGTCTTATTTTATACAAGTCTATCTATGAAAAACAAATCGTGTTTAGAAATGAAAAATATCGTTCGATGATGTGTAATATATATCACATTTCCGTTGGTTGTTTTTTCTTCTTCTTCTTCTTTTTTAATTTTACTCTATTTTTATTCATTTTTTACCATGAAAAGGTGAAATTTCAGACAGACTCGACAGTCAAGGCTATACAAACCCGTGGACGGGGTGATTTTGATCAGTGGATCTCATTGTACCAATTAAATATCAGCATGGACGGAAACACGTGGAGTGCTATACTGAACGCTACAACAGGCAATGTACAGGTAATTCGTTCTCACTAAGTAATCCCATTAATTTTCTCGTTATTTTATACACCGATAGAATTCCAGACATTTACGTCACTGTGTGGTATTCTCTATTTTTCTACTGTGTGCTATCATCTATTTTACTACTGTGTGATATTCTCTATTTTACTACTATAATATTCTCTATTTTACTACTGTGTGGTATTTTCTATTTTTCTACTGTGTGCTATCCTCTATTTTACTACTGTGTGATATTCGCTATTTTACTACTGTGTGGTATTTCTCTATTTTACTACTGTGTGGTATTCTCTATTTTACTACTGTGTGGTATTCTCTATTTTACTACTGTGTGATATTCTCTATTTTACTACTGTGTGATATTCTCTACTTTACTACTGTGTGGTATTTCTCTATTTTATTACTGTGTGATATTCTCTATTTTACTACTGTGTGATATTCCCTATTTTACTACTATAATATTCTCTATTTTACTACTGTGCGATATTCCCTATTTTACTACAGTGTGGTATTTCTCTATTTCACTACTGTGTGATATTTCTCTATTTTACTACTGTGTGATATTCCCTATTGTACTACTGTGTGGTATTTCTCTATTTTACTACTGTGTGATATTCTCTATTTTACTAGTGTGTGGTATTCTATTTTCTATTTTACTACTGTGTGGTATATTCTCTATTTTACTACTGTGTGATATTCTCTATTTTACTTGTGTGATATTTCTTTACTGTGTGTATTCTCTATTTTACTACTGTGTGATATTCTCTATTTTACTACTGTGTGGTATTTCTCTATTTTACTACTGTGTGGTATTCTCTATTTTTCTACTGTGTGCTATCCTCTATTTTACTACTGTGTGATATTCCCTATTTTACTACTATAATATTCTCTATTTTATTACTGTGTGATATTCTCTATTTTACTACTGTGTGATGTTCTCTATTTTACTACTGTGTGATATTCCCTATTTTACTACTGTGTGGTATTTCTCTATTTTACTACTGTGTGATATTCCCTATTTTACTACTGTGTGATATTCTCTATTTTACTACTGTGTGATATTCTCTATTTTACTACTGTGTGATATTCTCTATTTTACTACTGTGTGATATTCTCTATTTTACTACTGTGTGATATTCTCTATTTTACGACTGTGTGGTATTCTCTTTTTTATTAGTGTGTGATATTCTCTATTATACTACTGTGTGGTATTTCTCTATTTTACTACTGTGTGCTATTTCTCTATTTTACTACTGTGTGATATTCTCTATTTTACTACTGTGTGGTATTCTCTTTTTTTCTACTGTGTGCTATCCTCTATTTTACTACTGTGTGGTATTCTCTACTTTTCTACTGTGTGCTATCCTCTATTTTACTACTGTGTGATATTCCCTGTTTTTCTACTGTGTGCTATCCTATATTTTACTACTGTGTGATATTCCCTATTTTACTACTGTGTGATGTTCGCTATTTTACTACTGTGTGGTATTTCTCTATTTTACTGCTATGTGGTATTCTCTATTTTACTATTGTGTGGTATTCTCTATTTTACTACTGTGTGATATTCTCTATTTTACTACTGTGTGGTATTCTCTTTTTTTCTACTGTGTGCTATCCTCTATTTTACTACTGTGTGGTATTCTCTATTTTACTGTGTGATATTTCTCTATTTTACTACTGTGTGATATTCTCTATTTTACTACTGTGTGTATTCTCTATTTTACTACTGTGTGTGTGTGTATTCTCTATTTTACTACTGTGTGATATTCTCTATTTTACTACTGTGTGATATTCTCTATTTTACTACTGTGTGTATTCTCTATTGTGTACTATTTTACTACTGTGTGTATTCTCTATTTTACTACTGTGTGGTATTTCTCTATTTTACTACTGTGTGGTATTCTCTATTTTACTACTGTGTGGTATTCTCTATTTTACTACTGTGTGATATTCTCTATTTTACTACTGTGTGGTTTCTCTATTTTCTACTGTGTGATATTCTCTATTTTTCTGTGTGATATTCTCTATTTTACTACTGTGTGATATTCTCTATTTTACTACTGTGTGATATTCTCTATTTTACTCTGTGTGTATATTCTCTATTTTTCTACTGTGTGCTATCCTCTTTTTTACTACTGTGTGATATTCTCAATTTTATTACTGTGTGGTATTCTCTATTTTACTACTGTGTGATATTCTCTATTTTACTACAGTGTGATATTCTCTATTTTACTACTGTGTGGTATTCTCTTTTTTACTACTGTGTGATATTCTCTATTTTACCACTGTGTGATATTCTCTATTTTACTACTGTGTGTGATATTTCTCTATTTTATTACTGTGTGATGTTCTCTATTTTACTACTGTGTGATATTCTCTATTTTACTACTATGTGGTATTTCTCTATTTTACTACTGTGTGATATTCCCTATTTTACTACTGTGTGGTATTCTCTATTTTACTACTGTGTGATATTCTCTATTTTACTACTGTGTGATATTTCTCTATTTTACTACTGTGTGGTATTCTCTATTTTACTACTGTGTGGTATTCTCTATTTTACTACTGTGTCATATTTCTCTATTTTACTACTGTGTGGTATTCTCTATTTTTCTACTGTGTGCTATTTCTCTATTTAACTACTGTGTGATATTCGCTATTTTACTACTATGTGGTATTTCTCTATTTTACTGCTATGTGGTATATCTCTATTTTACTACTGTGTGCTATTCCCTATTTTACTACTGTGTGATATTCTCTATTTTACTACTGTGTGATATTCTCTATTTTACTACTGTGTGGTATTTCTCTATTTTACTACTGTGTGGTATTCTCTATTTTTCTACTGTGTGTATTCTCTATTTTATTACTGTGTGATATTCTCTATTTTACTACTGTGTGTGTTCTCTATTTTACTACTGTGTGATTCTCTATTTTACTCTGTGTGGTATTTCTATTTTACTACTGTGTGTATGATATTCTCTATTTTACTACTGTGTGGTATTCTCTATTTTACTGCTGTGTGGTATTTCTCTATTTTACTACTGTGTGATATTCTCTATTTTACTACTGTGTGGTATTCTCTATTTTTCTACTGTGTGCTATTTCTCTATTTTACTACTGTGTGATATTCGCTATTTTACTACTGTGTGATATTCCCTATTTTACTACTGTGTGATATTCGCTATTTTACTGCTGTGTGGTATTTCTCTATTTTACTGCTGTGTTATTCTCTATTTACTATTGTGTGTGATATTCTCTATTTTACTACTGTGTTATTTTCTCTATTTTACTACTGTGTGATATTCTTTATTTTACTACTGTGTGATATTTCTCTATTTTACTACTGTGTGATATTTCTCTATTTTACTACTGTGTGATATTCTTTATTTTACTACTGTGTGATATTTCTCTATTTTACTACTGTGTGATATTTCTCTATTTTACTACTGTGTGATATTCCCTATTTTACTACTGTGTGATATTCTCTATTTTACTACTGTGTGATATTCTCTATTTTACTACTGTGTGGTCTTTCTCTATTTTACTACTGTGTGATATTTCTCTATTTTACTACTGTGTGATATTCCCTATTTTACTACTGTGTGATATTCTCTATTTTACTACTGTGTGATATTCTCTATTTTACTACTGTGTGGTATTTCTCTATTTTACTACTGTGTGATATTCTCTATTTTACTACTGTGTGGTATTTCTCTATTTTACTACTGTGTGATATTCTCTATTTTACTACTGTGTGATATTCTCTATTTTACTACTGTGTGATATTCTCTATTTTACTACTGTGTGGTATTCTCTATTTTACTACTGTGTGATATTCTCTATTTTACTACTGTGTGATATTCTCTATTTTACTACTGTGTGATATTCTCTATTTTACTACTGTGTGATATTTCTCTATTTTATTTCTCTATTTTACTACTGTGTGGTATTTCTCTATTTTACTACTGTGTGGTATTTCCCTATTTTACTACTGTGTGGTATTCTCTATTTTACTACTGTGTCATATTCTCTATTTTACTACTGTGTCATATTTCTCTATTTTACTACTGTGTGATATTTCTCTATTTTACTACTGTGTGATATTCTCTATTTTACTACTGTGTGATATTCTCTATTTTACTATTGTGTGATATTCTCTATTTCACTACTGTGTGATATTACTACTGTTATTCTCTATTTTACTGCTCTGTGATATTCTCTATTTTACTACTGTGTGATGTTCTCTATTTTACTACTGTGTGATATTCTCTATTTTACTACTGTGTGATATTCTCTATTTTACTACTGTGTGATATTCTCTATTTTACTACTGTGTGATATTCTCTATTTTACTACTGTGTGATATTCTCTATTTTACTACTGTGTGGTATTTCTCTATTTTACTACTGTGTGGTATTCTCTTTTTTTCTACTGTGTGCTATCCTCTATTTTACTACTGTGTGGTTTTTCTCTATTTTTCTACTGTGTGCTATCCTCTATTTTTCTACTGTGTGCTATCCTCTATTTTACTACTGTGTGATATTCTCTATTTTATTACTGTGTGATGTTCTCTATTTTACTACTGTGTGATATTCTCTATTTTACTACTGTGTGATGTTCTCTACTTTATTACTTTGTGATGTTCTCTATCTTACTAGTGTGTGGTATTTCTCTATTGATATTCTCTATTTTACTACTGTGTTACTACTGTGTGATATTCTCTATTTTACTACTGTGTGTGTTCTCTATTTTCTCTATTTCTATTTTACTACTGTGTGATATTCCCTATTTTACTACTGTGTGGTATTTCTCTATTTTACTACTGTGTGGTATTCTCTATTTTTCTACTCTGTGCTATCCTCTATTTTACTACTGTGTGATGTTCTCTATTTTACTACTATAATATTCTCTATTTTATTACTGTGTGATGTTCTCTATTTTACTACTGTGTGATATTTCTCTATTTTACTTCTGTGTGATATTCCCTATTTCACTACTGTGTGATGTTCTCTATTTTACTACTGTGTGGTATTTCTCTATTTCACTACTGTGTGATGTTCTCTATTTTACTACTGTGGTATTCTCTATTTTACTACTGTGTGATATTCTATATTTTACTACTGTGTGATATTCTCTATTTTACTACTGTGTGCTATCCTCTTTTTTACTACTGTGTGATATTTCTCTATTTCACTGCTCTGTGATATTCTCTATTTTATTACTGTTTGGTATTCTCTATTTTACTACTGTGTGGTTTTTCTCTATTTTACTACTGTGTGGTATTCTCTTTTTTACTACTGTGTGATATTCTCTATTTTACTACTGTGTGATATTCTCTATTTTACTACTGTGTGGTATTCTCTATTTTACTATTGTGTGATATTCTCTATTTCACTACTGTGTGATGTTCTTTATTTTTCTACTGTGTGGTATTCTCTACTTTTCTACTGTGTGCTATCCTCTATTTTACTACTGTGTGATATTCCCTATTTTACTACTGTGTGGTATTTCTCTATTTTACTACTGTGTGATATTCTCTATTTTATTACTGTGTGATGTTCTCTATTTTATTACTGTGTGATGTTCTCTATTTTACTACTGTGTGATATTCTCTATTTTACTACTGTGTGATGTTCTCTATTTTACTACTGTGTGGTATTTCTCTATTTTACTACTGTGTGATATTCTCTATTTTACTACTGTGTGGTATTTCTCTATTTCACTACTCTGTGGTATTCTCTATTTTATTACTGTGTGATGTTCTCTATTTTACTACTGTGTGATATTTCTCTATTTTACTACTGTGTGATATTCCCTATTTTACTACTGTGTGATGTTCGCTATTTTACTACTGTGTGGTATTTCTCTATTTTACTGCTATGTGGTATTCTCTATTTCACTATTGTGTGGTATTTCTCTATTTTACTGCTGTGTGGTATTTCTCTATTTCACTATTGTGTGGTATTTCTCTATTTTACTGCTGTGTGGTATTTCTCTATTTTACTACTGTGTGATATTCTCTATTTTACTACTGTGTGGTATTCTCTATTTTATTACTGTGTGGTATTTCTCTATTTTACTACTGTGTGATATTCTCTATTTTACTACTGTGTGATATTCTCTATTTTACTACTGTGTGGTATTTCTCTATTTTACTACTGTGTGATATTCTCTATTTTACTACTGTGTGATATTCGCTATTTTATTACTGTGTTGTATTTCTCTATTTTACTACTGTGTGATATTCTCTATTTTACTACTGTGTGGTATTTCTCTATTTTACTACTGTGTGATATTCTCTATTTTACTACTGTGTGATATTTTCTATTTTACTACTGTGTGGTATTTCTCTATTTTACTGCTGTGTGGTATTCTCTATTTTACTGCTGTGTGGTATTCTCTATTTTACTACTGTGTGGTATTTCTCTATTTTACTACTGTGTGGTATTTCTCTATTTTACTACTGTGTGGTATTTCTCTATTTTACTACTGTGTGATATTCTCTATTTTACTACTGTGTGATATTCTCTATTTTACTACTGTGTGGTATTCTCTATTTTACTGCTGTGTGGTATTTCTCTATTTTACTACTGTGTGATATTCTCTATTTTACTACTGTGTGGTATTCTCTATTTTACTGCTGTGTGGTATTTCTCTATTTTACTACTGTGTGATATTTTCTATTTTACTACTGTGTGATATTTTCTATTTTACTACTGTGTGATATTTTCTATTTTACTACTGTGTGGTAATCTCTATTTTACAGATTCGATACTTCCCATTTAATCGACTATTTCTCATGACAAAGTATTAGGGAAGTTTTCGTGACTTTTCTCTCTTCTATATTTTTGCTTACACTTATCTTTATTTTGGAATTTTATTTTGAATCCTTAATACCTAAATGCGTGATAATTAAATTTTATTTCTCATGATATGTGTAGTAAGTATTTAATGATATTGATGAATGTATAGTAACAATCATGTGGACAACCTATATTAATGTATTTGATAACTAAACACCAGTTAATAGAAACTATTTGTCCTCATCTGGATTAAAACACGGATGAGTTAATGGCATGTTGTGGTTTCTACCGTCAATCTTCCGTTACTTTTATCTCTAGAATGATACCAGATCGTCTGATTAGAGTTTTAAACCTTTTGTATGTAGTCAAGGACGGGGAGATTGTCAGAACTCTTTGTGTGAACAATGGAGTCTCTGGCCACGACAGGGAAGAGTGACAGAACTCTTTATGTGAACCATGGAGTCTCTGTCCCCCGACGGGGAGAGTGTCAGAACTCTTTGTGTGAACAATGGAGTCTCTGGCTCCCGACGGGGAGAGTGTTAGAACTCTTTGTGTGAACAATGGAGTCTCTGGCCACGACAGGGAAGAGTGACAGAACTCTTTATGTGAACAATGGAGTCTCTGTCCCCCGACGGGGAGAGTGTCAGAACTCTTTGTGTGAACCATGGAGTCTCTGTCCCCCGACGGGGAAAGTGTCAAAACTCTTTGTGTGAACAATGGATTATCTGTTCATGACAGGGGGTGTGTCAGAACTCTTTGTGTGAACAATAGAGTCTCTGGCCTCCGACGGGGAGAGTGTTAGAACTCTTTGTGTGGACCATGGAGTCTCTATCCCCCGACGGGGAAAGTGTCAGAACTCTTTGTGTGGACCAAGGAGTCACTGGCCCCTGACGGGGAAAGTGTCAGAACTCTTTGTGTGAACCACGGAGTCTCTGGTCACGACAGGGGAGAGTGTCAGAACTCTTTGTGTGAACAATAGAGTCTCTGGCCCAAGACGGGGATGGGTGTCAGAACTCTTTGTGTGAACAAAGGAGTATATGGACCTCGACGGGGAAGGGTGTCAGAACTCTTTGTGTGAACCAAGGAGTCTCTGGCCCCTGACGGGGAGAGTGTCAGAACTCTTTGTGTGAACCAAGGAGTCTCTGGTCAGGACAGGGGGGAGTGTCAGAACTCTTTTTGTGAACCACGGAGTCTCTGGTCACGACAGGGGAGAGTGTCAGAACTCTTTTGTGAACAATGGAGTCTCTTGGCCACGACGGGGAGAGTGTCAGAATTCTTTGTGTGATTTCATTGTTATGACTTACGCAATCTTTCTTATGACTGCACATAACCATGTATATCTAACTGCCAACGGCTTACATCTCTTCCTTTCGTTACAAAGATATTTCCTGGAAATAACGACCGAGATACAGTCGTGACCAACACACTTGAAGGAAATGTCGTGGTAAGATACATTCGGGTAATATCCGTCTCTGGAAATACCTACAGATCTATGAGGTTGGAGATACAGGGTTGCCCATTTTCAACGCCCAGTAAGTATCTAGTACTGGTAACTTATGTTGATCTTTATTTGTCCGTTTGTCCGCTTTTTCGTCCGTGCGACATTATTTTGTTCGGAGAATATTGCAAAATCTACCACAGGTATCAACATGAAACTACATAGGTAGATAGAGCTCACTAAAGAGAAGTGCAGTGGACAAGAACCGTCACTCTGTTTTACATGATTTAGGAGTTATTGAAACTTGGTGCATACATTGGTCATACTAAGAGAAAGGGCCTGTAACTTCTTAATTATAAAATTATGGCTCTTTTTCAAACTGTGATCAATTATTTAGTCTACAGCAGATTGTATCTCTATAAACAGTGACAGAATGCCGCTTAATATAGATTCACGAAAATATGACTAATGACGAATTGTAACTGTAGATAGAATGACGTAATGTAACTATATATAGAATTATAGAATGACGCAATGTAACTATTTACATAGTGACAAAATGAAACTCTGTATAAAGTAATGAATTATTAGTATATACGTAAGTGTAACTTTGTATAGTATCGAAATGTAACATATATTGACAAATTCTTAGTATGTTTGGAGTGACGAAATGTAGCCATATGTAGTGTGACGAAATGTAAGAATTCATAGTGAGACGAAATATCCCTATACACAGTGAGAAGCATGGCCCTACATATCACATCAAATGGTAGATTGGCTATGTAAACACGATAGTGGGATGTCAGTATTTATGTTTATCAATAGACATTTAAGGGTTTGACAAAATCTCAGATAATTGTTTAAAAAGCAACGAGGAGCTTTGATTTTGATGATTACTTAAATCCGTGACGTTATTTTACAGACACGTGCAACAAATGGAAAGCCAAATTAGGATCAGTCGGTGATATAGTGACCGTTGTCGGCGATACTAATGCAGCTAACCAAGGATTGTGTGGATTGAAGTGTTTTAGACAAACAGAGTGTGACAGCTTTCTTTTTGATGTCTCATCCTTCCGCTGTAGACTACTAAAAGAGACACCCAGTTCGTTACCTATTACAGTCAACTTGGACGGTGTTTGGTATTTCTCGAAAACATGATTACATCTGTTTCCCAGCTGCTGTAAAAAATCGCTTTCTGCTAATTAATGTTACTTCTGATTGACCTTATGTAAAGTTAGGGGTGTAGGGCTGGGCATCTGATACAAGTATATTAGGATGAAGTCAGAGGGTAGAAATTGGAGAGGATATTTCTGATAGACGTTATGTTAAGGTGGGGTTTCGGGAATGAAAAAGTGTACATCTGATGTAGGTTATGTTAGACTAGAGGTTAAGGGTTTGGAGAGAGTACCTCTGATATAGGTCATGTTACACTAGAGGTTAAGGGTTTGGAGAGAGTACCTCTGATGTAGGTCATGTTACACTAGAGGTTAAGGGTTTGGAGAGAGTACCTCTGATGTAGGTCATGTTACACTAGAGGTTAAGGGTTTGGAGAGAGTACCTCTGATGTAGGTCATGTTACACTAGAGGTTGAGGGTTTGGAGAGAGTACCTCTGATGTAGGTTATGTTACACTAGAGGTTAAGGGTTTGGAGAGAGTACCTCTGATGTAGGTTATGTTACACTAGAGGTGAAGGGTTTGGAGAGAGTACCTCTGATGTAGGTTATGTTACACTAGAGGTTAAGGGTTTGGAGAGAGTACCTCTGATGTAGGTTATGTTACACTAGAGGTTAAGGGTTTGGAGAGAGTACCTCTGAGGTTAAGGGTTTGGAGAGAGTACCTCTGATGTAGGTTATGTTACACTAGAGGTTAAGGGTTTGGAGAGAGTACCTCTGATGTAGGTTATGTTACACTAGAGGTTAAGGGTTTGGAGAGAGTACCTCTGATGTAGGTCATGTTACACTAGAGGTTAAGGGTTTGGAGAGAGTACCTCTGATATAGGTCATGTTACACTAGAGGTTAAGGGTTTGGAGAGAGTACCTCTGATATAGGTCATGTTACACTAGAGGTTAAGGGTTTGGAGAGAGTACCTCTGATGTAGGTCATGTTACACTAGAGGTGAAGGGTTTGGAGAGAGTACCTCTGATATAGGTCATGTTACACTAGAGGTTAAGGGTTTGGAGAGAGTACCTCTGATATAGGTCATGTTACACTAGAGGTTAAGGGTTTGGAGAGAGTACCTCTGATATAGGTTATGTTACACTAGAGGTTAAGGGTTTGGAGAGAGTACCTCTGATATAGGTCATGTTACACTAGAGGTTAAGGGTTTGGAGAGAGTACCTCTGATGTAGGTTATGTTACACTAGAGGTTAAGGGTTTGGAGAGAGTACCTCTGATATAGGTCATGTTACACTAGAGGTTAAGGGTTTGGAGAGAGTACCTCTGATGTAGGTTATGTTACACTAGAGGTGAAGGGTTTGGAGAGAGTACCTCTGATGTAGGTTATGTTACACTAGAGGTGAAGGGTTTGGTTGGTTATTAGAGGTAGTTTATTTAATGGACATTCGATAAAGGCGGATTTATTTAGGATAGGAGGAGGGAAGGAAGTTTTAATGTTTTATGGAGACTGAAACATCTTAATACAACAGTTCGCTAAATGTTTCTATCTCATCTATCTGTTTTTTCGTATTTATGTAACACTGGTAAAATACTATCCGCAATATACTACTTGGTTGAGCGTCAGACTAGTAAGCCAGGGGTTCCGGGTTCGATTCCTATTGGAGGCATTGAAATAAATAATAACCATTGTTACATTATCAGCTTTTTTACCTAGACATTTACATACGTTAAGCTTAAGACACATATATAGCATTATGCTTCCTTTTAGAAACAACCACCAACACTCTCACCTCACCACCATCACCATCTTCATCATCATCATCATCTTCATTACATATTACCAATGTTTGTACTACATCGTCAGTGTTATTACTCATAGTTATCATTATGGACACTTTTTGAAAGTGACTTTTATTTGATTAAATCATTTTGCGCTGAAGATAACCGTGATCTCCCGTATTAATTACAACAATATCGTATAAAGCGATACATGTATATTTTTTTTCTTTGTATTGCGGTCCTAGAACTGATCATCGTGGTAAGTGGGTGACAGAGGAGGCACGGAGTGGCAATACATAGATATACAATTCTGGATTGATGGCAGTCAGTGGTAAACATGTAGCGGTTTTCGGACCATGATACCAAACAGATAACTTCTGGCTCTTCACTACCACAACGACCTGTTCGTGGTTCACAATATCACAACGACCTGTTCGTGGTTCACAATACCACAACGACCTGTCCATGGTTCACATTACCACAACGATCAGTTCGTGGTTCACAATACCACAACGATCAGTTCGTGGTTCACAATACCACAACGATCAGTTCGTGGTTCACAATACCACAACGACCTGTCCATGGTTCACAATACCACAACTATCAGTTCGTGGTTCACAATACCACAACGACCTGTCCATGGTTCACAATACCACAACGACCTGTCCAGGTTCACAATACCACAACGACCTGTTCGTGGTTCACAATATCACAACGACCTGTTCGTGGTTCACAATACCACAACGACCTGTCCATGGTTCAAAATATCACAACATGTTCTTGGTTCACAATACCACAACGACCTGTCCATGGTTCAAAATATCACAACATGTTCGTGGTTCACAATACCACAACGACCTGTTCGTGGTTCACAATACCACAACGACTTGCCCAGGGTTCACAATACCACAACGACCTGTTCGTGGTTCACAATATCACAACGACCTGTTCGTGGTTCACAATACCACAACGACCTGTTCGTGGTTCACAATACCACAACGACCTGTCCATGGTTCACAATATCACAACATGTTCGTGGTTCACAATACCACAACGACCTGTTCGTGGTTCACGATACCACAACGACCTGTTCGTGGTTCACAATACCACAACGACCTGTCCATGGTTCACAATATCACAACGACCTGTTCGTGGTTCACAATATCACAACGACCTGTCTGTGGTTCACAATACCACAGCGACCTGTTCATGGTTCACAATACCACAACGACCTGTTAGTGGTTCACAATATCAAAATGACCTGTTCGTGGTTCACAATACAACAACGACCTGTTAGTGGTTCACAATATCACAACGACCTGTCTGTGGTTCACAATACCACAGCGACCTGTTCATGGTTCACAATACCACAACGACCTGTCACAATATCAAAATGACCTGTTCGTGGTTCACAATACAACAACGACCTGTTAGTGGTTCACAATATCACAGCGACCTGTTCATGGTTCACAATACCACAACGACCTGTTAGTGGTTCACAATATCAAAATGACCTGTTCGTGGTTCACAATACAACAACGACCTGTTCGTGGTTCACAATACCACAACGACCTGTTCGTGGTTCACAATACCACAACGACCTGTTCGTGGTTCACAATACCACAACGACCTGTCCATGGTTCACAATATCACAACATGTTCGTGGTTCACAATACAACAACGACCTGTTCGTGGTTCACAATACCACAACGACCTGTTCGTGGTTCACAATACCACAACGACCTGTCCATGGTTCACAATATCACAACATGTTCGTGGTTCACAATGGTTCACAATATCACAACGACCTGTTCGTGGTTCACAATATCACAACGACCTGTCTGTGGTTCACAATACCACAGCGACCTGTTCATGGTTCACAATACCACAACGACCTGTTAGTGGTTCACAATATCAAAATGACCTGTTCGTGGTTCACAATACAACAACGACCTGTTAGTGGTTCACAATATCACAACGACCTGTCTGTGGTTCACAATACCACAGCGACCTGTTCATGGTTCACAATACCACAACGACCTGTTAGTGGTTCACAATATCAAAATGACCTGTTCGTGGTTCACAATACAACAACGACCTGTTAGTGGTTCACAATATCACAACGACCTGTTCGTGGTTCAAAATATCACAACATGTTCGTGGTTCACAATACCACAACGACCTGTTCGTGGTTCACTATACCACAACGACCTGTCCATGGTTCACAATATTACAACATGTTCGTGGTTCACAATACCACAACGACCTGTTTGTGGTTCACAATACCACATCGACCTGTTCGTGGTTCACAATATCACAACGACATGTTTGTGGTTCACAATACCACAACTATCAGTTCGTGGTTCACAATACCACAACGACCTGTCCATGTTTCACAATACCACAACGATCAGTTCGTGGTTCACAATATCACAATGACCTGTCCTTGGTTCACAATACCACATCGACCTGTTCGTGGTTCACAATACCACATCGACCTGTTCGTGGTTCACATTACCACAATGCTCTGTCATTGGCTTTTTAAAGTCCCCGAGGATGACCTGTGTCACATTTTAATTGAGTTGACTCTGTTGGAAATTATGAAATTTGTTTAGTTATGGGGTTGCTGCACCTCACTGTCTATAGTTTGACAATTATATGATACAGTTTAATTCGTCTTTAATTTCCATTTTAATGTTTTGGTTTTACTATATCTTACTCTTTGTTGGAATTAAATGTGCACTTGAGTGTTTTTGTACAACCTTAATCAACTGATTTTTTTCTGTTATTCTTTTTTCTAATTTTTCATGTGTAAATCTTTCTTTTGTTATTATAAACAAGGAATTCTTCATTATTTCTCAGCCCTCTTTCTCCCTTTGTCCTTCCTCCGTCATTTCTAATATATAACTGTCTTTTTCTTCCTTTCTTTAGAAATGGTACAAAGCGTCATGTTTTTCAACTCGTAAAATTGTGATTCTGCCATGCTTTAGTTACATCTATAAGAATATAAGTATATGCTAAAAGATATGATTTCTCATGTATTTAACAATATCAAAAATGTGATTTTTGTACTGCTGTAAAAAAATCAAAAATAAGATAAAAAAATTAAAAAAAAAACAGTTTATGTTTATTTGAGTTTGAATTGTGTTGACAGTTTGGTATTTTGTTATTTTCTCTTTACCGATATCATACAAACAATATGAAATGGACAGATGATAAAAGTAGCAATGTTTCCAAGGTGGGCCCTATCAATATATCTATTTGTTAAATATGACGTCAGTGGTAATGTTAGATAAAGTTTACCTAGCACTAAATAAGCATGTAATGATTACACAGAACAAAGTCGTGTGACATCATCACCAACCCATCCCTCTTTTTATTTCATAAAGTGCTGGAGTTGATAGCATTGATCTTACATACAGAACATAAATACGTGAATTGAATCTATTGTTCCGCCGATTAAATCAGACAAGTAAATGTCAGTAGTGTATTAACGTACAGTAATGATGATGATAAACGACAATCAAAACAAAATGAAATAGAGAATTCAGAAAAATGTTGACAGACCATCACATTATTGATTATTTTTTCAATGTCAAGTTGATTGTTGTTCATACACCTATACATGTACATGTATGGATAGGAAAAAATAACACTCGTTTGCTTGTAACGTATGTGTTTACAGGTGAGGTACGGTGCGTCCGCGAATATACATGAAAAGATCATTACTGCAGTATGTACTGAGGTGTGTGTCAATAGATATATATCGAACAGATTCACGAATTGAAAGATAGTAATGTTGTAAATGTTTATAAGGGTACATTGTACATTAGTGTTATACATACACTATGTACATGTTGATCTCTGATGTACATTGTAGTACATGTAATCCATTTGTAATTTGGGTCAGTATTCTGTTATAACATTATATTACATGTAATATCCAGTACACCAGGCACAGATCTATACGTGTGCTTATTTGATCATTATATTTTTGGTCGGTGTTTGAATTACAGTGTACTTTTACTGGTAAACATTGCATTAATAACTGATGATGATTGCTATATTTTACATGTATACGTCTATCTGTTTATTGTAAATGTTTCAATTAAAAAAAAAAAAACGAAATAAAGTTATGAGTGTGTGTGTCAATCGGATTGGGGTCAGATCCTACGGTCGCTGGGTTGCTCTGCGTTAGATGTTACATTAAACCAAGGGGACTTGGTGCGGGTTCCAGACCCGCAGCCCGTATGTGTGTGTATTGATATAATACGTATAGGTGTGGGCTGTGGGTTTGGAATTCGTGCCGGGTCCCTGTGCGCTAGACGTAGAGTAACGTAGTGATTGTGGGGTCTGATTTTAGTCGGATTGTGTGTGTTGGTGTGAATATGTTCAGAGTGAAACTGTAACAATAGATAGATAAATATACTCTGATTATGTAAATACATGTATTAGGATCACCGAAATATTTTCACACTATTCCGGATTCCTTCTACCGCTTTCCGCTTTCCTCTATTCTTATGTTTCTACTTCCTTTTTGTTAGTTCCGGTCTAGCCACGTGTGAGGGTTCGCATGTAAATTATGTAGTGAGAAGATGTGTGCAGTAGATAGTGGGTCACTATATTCTGACCATGGTTTGTATGTTTTACTTCTTTTCCTTCTCTCCCCCTTTCATACGCCCTTCTGTGTCTGTATGTCTTTGTCTTGTGAGGTACTGTTCTCCTTTTACACATACATGTATCTGAGGAAGATCTATGAACACAAATGACATCACGGTACTGTCGGCGAACTGCCAGGGGTTGTGTGATAGGATTAAAAGGAAAGATATGTTTTCTTATTTAAGAGAGAAAAGGTATAGTATTTACTGTCTGCAGGACACTCACTTTTCTTCAGAACAGGAACATATTATTAGAAATGAATGGGGTTTTCATACTTATTTCAGCTCTTTTAAATCTAATGCACGTGGCATGGCTATTCTGTGCAAACAACTTTCAAGAATGTTTCAGTTTATTGCCGACACTGACTCGCCCTGAGACAGAGTGGAAACTGCAAGTACATAGCATGCATACATTTCGAAATACGCTTTACATAGTTGTATACAGAAGTTCGGCAGCATGCGAAAATACATATTATTGAAAAGAGCATGATTGTCATGACACACATTGAAGTTATTTGGAATGTTCTACCATTGATTTACAAGATTATATATAGTTTTACTAATTAATTACCCGATAACGATCTGCAGGCAAGGGTTTCTTGTGGAAGCACATGTTGTTTTCTTTCATTTTTCAGAAGAAGATGGTAAGTGCATATGAGTAGAGCCGGACGGACGAAATATCCGGAAAGTGTGACGGCACACTCCCGCCCCATTGCTGCAGCAATACTTAAAGTTCTTGTACAATACAAATTCAGAATTCTAACTATAACAAATAAACACAGTAATGAGTAGATCAATATGACTAAATTCACATATCCAAGTTCGTAATCAACACCGTGAAATGTTCTAGGTTTAACACAACTAGAGTAAATGATAATATTAATTTCAGATAGCAATGTCACATCTTTAGTAAAAACACAGTCAATTTAATGGTAGCGAAGATGGCCATACTTGAACCACTAAAGGTTCACGAAGCACTTAACAGGTAGACGAGTTCCGAGACTGGTCTAACAAAGGTTGTTGGATTGTCCTTTCGAGTGATCATGACCTCAACCTTACTAACTAGTCCATCACCACTCGGGAATGTATTCACAACACGTCCGATTGGCCACTGTCTCCGATGAGCACATTTATCCTTCAAGAGAACGACGTCATCCAGTTTCAAGTTGTTGGTCTCATGCTGCCATTTTTGCCTAGCTTGAAGTTGATTGAGGTACTCACGAGAGAACCTCTTCCAGAACTCATTGGCAAGAGCTTGTACCAGAGACCACTGTGCCTTATACATGTCTTTCAGCGTCAAATCACCAAATGGTTCATGCGGATTGCAGGTCTTTTGGGTGAGCAAGGAAGATGGAGTTAGAATGCTGGGACACTCCGGATCTGATGAAACTTGCGTGATTGGTCTGCTACTAATGATTGCAGCTACTTCGTACATGAGTGTGGATAGAACATCATGGGTGATGCACTTGTTCTTATGTTGAAGAAGCATGGAGTCAAGAATTCGTCTGGACATCCCGATCATCCTTTCCCATACCCCACCCATATGAGATGAATGAGGGGAGTTGAAAATCCAGTTAATTCCAGACTGATAGAGGTGTTGCTTAACAGCACCATCCTCCACGTTGATTGCATTGATTTTCAGGTGGTCAGTACAGCCAACAAAGTTTGTTCCGCGGTCAGAGAGGAACTGGCATACTTCACCACGGACGGAAGTGAATCTATGCAGTGCGTTGATAAACGCACTTGCGTTCATGTCCTCAAGTACTTCAATATGGACTGCCCTAGTAGAGAGGCAGGTGAACAACGCCGCCCAGCGCTTGGAATTTGCAGCACCTCCCCTGGTTCGCTTGGCAGTCACTTACCAGGGGCCAAAGACATCTACACCAACATATGAAAATGGAGCGGATGGTGTTATGCGAGAGACAGAGAGATCCGCCATCTTCTGCGTTCCAAGACTGCCTCTCATTTTACGACAGGTAACGCATGCGTGGATACATGAGGCGATAAGCCTCTTTCCTCCAATTATCCAGTACCCAGAGGACCTAACGACCCCTTCTGTAAGATGGCGGCCCTGATGTTGTACCTTCTGATGACAGTTGCGCACGATGAGTAGACCAACATAGCATCCTTTGGGGATGATTATCGGATTACAATCAGTCGAGAGTTGGGATTCATTGGCCTTGTTCAATCTACCTCCAACACGAAGAAGTCCGTGGCTATCAAGAACAGGTGTCAAGGAGAGTATGGAACTGTCCTTGGGAAGTTTCCTGTGTGACTGAAGGCATTCGATCTCCTTCGCAAAGTGTTTTCTTTGTACACTGAGAAGAATGAACAGCTCTGTTTCCCGTTTGAAGTTCGCTTTCTTGTGTTTGGAGCACTTGTGCCAGCCTTTACAAGGGTTTTCAGATTTCTTGAATGACCTCGCTAAGTGAATGAGGTAGGAAAGGCCTTGCACGAACGAATCCCATTCTGAGTGCCTCTCAAAGAGGGTCGTAACGTCGAAGTTTCCTCCATCTGTTACCGAAGTTTTGGTCACTTCTGGCCGGACGTCCTTATCTGATACTGGGTTGACAAGAGGGAATGATTCCTTTGCGGTGGCGTTTATCTCACCTGGGCTTTCTTGAAGGAATTTGGGTCCGTTCAGCCACATACATTTTTGCATTCTCAAGGTAGTGATCGACCGGGTTCCTTCATCAGCCGGGTTGTCATTAGTGTTGACATAAGTCCACTGCTTTGGTTCAGTAGAGTTTCTTATCCTCTGGACACGATTTGCAACAAACACATAAAAGCGCCTTGTCGAGTTGAAGATGTAGACCAGTACTATACGGCTATCGGTGTACATTTTAACCTTGTCAAAGTTTATCCCAAGACTAGAGACAACTGTGTCCTTGATCTGCGTTGCAAGTACGGCGGCGCACAGTTCCAAGCGTGGGACGGTGTGTCCTCCTGTTGGTGCAGGCTTAGCCTTCCCAAGCACAAAGGAGACCTCCACGTCTCCTCCCTGGCTGACAGTGCGCAGAAAGGCTGCCGCAGCAATGGCATCTGTTGAAGCATCGGAAAACACATGTAACTCTTTTACCACCTTTCCTTCAACACCAGTGCCGTAGCATCGAGGAATGTATAAGTTCTCTAGAAGACTAAGAGAGGACCTCCACCTTTCTCATTCCTTCTCCAGTCCTGTTGGCAGAGGGTCATCCCAGGCAATTGTAAGATCCATAATTTGTCTGAAGAACATCTTTCCTTTGATCGTGATAGGCGCGAGAAGGCCAAGGGGGTCGTAGAGACTTCCGATAGAGGACAAAACTCCTCTTTTGGTGAATGGTTTTTGTTCCTCGGATACTTTGCAGGTAAACGCGTCTAGCGCGACATTCCAGAAAATGCCAAGACTACGTTGAAGTGGAATGTCATCTGCCGGGAGACTAAGGTCCTTGAGGTTTTCGGCGATATCGTCAGAAGGGAAGGATTCCATAAGGTCTTGACTGTTTGATGAAATTTTATGGAAACGGAGTCGACCTCCCTCCCAGAGGGCCTTTTGAGTTCTTTTGAGGATATCTATAGCACACTCAGCATCAGGTACAGAAATAGACCGTCATCTACATAGAAGTTGTTATGAACAAATTCGCAGACATCCTCTCCATAGTCTTGTTTGACCGAGTCAGCCGCCTTGCGTAAACCGTATGTGGCAATGGCGGGGGATGGAGAATTTCCGAAGGTGTGGACCTTCATGCGGTATTCGATGATCTCCTTATCCAGATCATTGTCTTCATGCCAGAGAAATCTCAGGAGGTCCCTGTCTTCTTTCTTCACATAGAAGCAGTGAAGCATTTACTGAATATCTGCCATAAATGCCACTAGTTCTTTTCTGAATCTTAAGAGGATAGCAAGGAGGCTGTTCGTAAGGTCTGGCCCTTTAAGCAGGGTGTCATTTAAAGAGATACCTTGGCATTTGGCAGAGGAGTCAAATACAACTCGGAGAGAGTCTGTTTCCTTGGCGTGGTAGACGCCGAATATTGTCAAATACCATCGTTCACTAGCACCGTTAGTGCCAGCGACTGTTTCTGCATGCCCTGTAGACAATATTTTCGTCATGAACTGTACAAAGTGCTCTCGCTTTTTAGGGTTTCTTTTTAGGCTAGCGGTCAAGGACTTGGCTCGCTTCATGGCCTCATTCTTGTTATTCGGAAGGGCTTGTCGTAGAGGTTTCAAAGGAAGAGGGGCTTCCCAGTGCCCGTTGTCATCTTTAACCATTTCTGTAGCCATGATGTTGAGAAACTGGTGGTCCTCTATAGATAGTCCTCTAGTTTCATCCGCGAGGGTCCTTTCAAACAGGCAGTTGTTTTCCAATGGTGCTTCCTTTGTGCTGAAGTAATTTCTGCAGGATTCAAAGACTGACGCACGACCGTTGATAAGCAGTTGGGTTTCGTTGACGTTGACCATCTCTGACCAATGTGTACCTCCTCCACAAGATTCCCCGATAAGAACCCATCCTAAGCCTAGCTTTTGAGCAAAGGGGGTGTTTCTAGGGCCCACGCGTTGATCAAGCACCCTGTGGGCATCAACCATGTCCCTGCCAATGAGGATCGCGATAGGGGCGTCGTAAAGGTGAGGTATCTGGTGTGCAACATCGATCAAATGAGGGTAGTGCTGTGCTATATCAGGTACAGGGATTTCTTCCCGATTGTTCGGTATGTCGTGGCATTCGATCAGGGTAGGGAGGTCCATCTTCGTTTGGCCATCTGCTGATTCAGCAACATAACCATGGACTCTTCTTCCAGACATAGCAAATACTCCAGCACAGGATGTTAGGGTGTACTCCATTTCATGTCCCGTCTCACCAAAATGATCGAGGAACTCTGATGTAGCGAGGGACTTGTTGCTCTGGTCATCAATAATGGCATAGATGTACTTAAAGTTTCCAGGAGATGTGTTATGATAAACCTTGATGAGCACAATCTTAGCACAAGATCTTCCAGAGAATTCCTTGCAATTCAGTTTAGTACACTTTGACTGGACTTCCTCACTGGAGCTGAATGACATGGAAGTAGGTGTAGACGTACTATTGGATGGAACATCTGGTCCTGACATGTGCAGCGCTGTGCAGTGCTTTGGACTCTGACATCTTTTGCAGGAGACTGACTCCGGGCAGTTCTTTGCAATGCACTGGTTTATTGCGCAGCACTTGAAGCATACACCTTTCTCTCTCATAAACTTCTTTCTCTCCTCTATAGACTTCTTTTGAAAGGCTTTGCAATCGTTCAGGCTATGGGAAGTGTTATGGAGTGGGCAGAGAACTTCTCTTACTTCCTTTTGGGTGACCTCTGTCTTGTGGACTGCAATGGGTTTTGACTGATATGAAGTCATCAAAGGGTTCTTTCTTTTCTCTGTACCGCTTACTGCTTTACTTTCTACCTTAGCTGCATAGTCGAAGCTTGGATCATTTGCTCTAATGGCGTGCTGAATGGGGGATACATCACAGTTTTTTTCTTTTATGACGGCCAGCATGTTCAGTCCATTTGTTTTGAAGGTAAACAGGAAGTTTGGTGACTATCGGGTTGACTCCCGCTGATGTGTCGTAGAAGGACAACAGAGTTTTGTAGGTGTCTTGTTCCTTAATGGAGAGCACTTCTGCTAGAAGGTCGGCCAGTTCATAAAGACGTTTTGGGTCAGTATTGGAAATTTTAGGTAGTGAGGCGAGCTTTTGTCTAAGCGACAGTTCTACCAGCTCTGGAGATCCGTGCCGCTGTTCAAGTCTAGTCCATATTTTGGACAGCGCAAGCTTAGGATTGGCTGCATTGGCTATTCGCAGGCTCTCTGCGTGACGCTTGGATTCTGGGCCCAGATATTTTACTAGCAGGTCTATTTCCTCATCAGCACTAAAGTTCATGTCCTCGGATATTCCTTTGAAGGAGGCTTTCCATGTGAGGTAGGCTTCTGCTTTGTCATTAAAGCTGGAAATCTTATGTAGAAGGAGATCCTTTTTCATCAGAAACTTGCTAAAATCTGATATGGTGTTATTTTCCTGGACAGTGTTCCTAGTTGGCTCAAAGGACTTTCGGTACTTTGATGTAGTTTGTTCGGTAGGCATATGACTGTGTGCCTCGTTGTTAGGTTCGGCATGCATCTTAGTACAGGTGTAAGCCTGAGCATCCCCACACTGTTCAGCATTAGCTTGATGATCCTGGGTCACAGGAGGGGAGTCAGCAAACATATCAGGAGGGGGGAGATAACTAGGGATTAACTCTGAGGCCTGATCTCGCAGTTCTGACTCAAAAGGTGTGTCATAGTTGGTTTCATCGAGTGAACTTACACTAGGTACTTGCTTACTTCTCAGATTCTGGGATGGGCCTGGGCTCTGCACATAACTGAATGGTTTTGGTTGGGATGGTCCATGGCTGTCAAGGTATAACTCAACCTTGCTGCGTGATGAGAGCTGTTCACCTGGGAGTTCGATATTTGGTGGGGTCAAGTTTTCATTAAAATATTCATCCAACACCTTAAGCTTCGCTGTTGCCTCTGTGTATTCCTTTTCTGTCTTTATAATCTTGAGCTGTACTTGTTTCTCAGCTGCCTCTCTTTCTAATAGGGCCTCTCTCTCCGCATACATAAGCCTGACCTTTGCGGCTTCGGCCTTAGCCTTAGTACGAAGTTATTCTGAGCTGACATCTGACCGAGTTGAACCCTGTGATGATCTATGAGATCTGTGTTCTAACCTGATCTGTGGGATGATCTGTGTGGTGAGTACTGGGACCATCTCTATCAATTTTCTCTGAAGGTTTCTGTGTGTTTCTCTGGGTTAGTCGTAGATGGGGTGCAGGTTTCAGCAATGTTCTCTGTTGTACAATAAGGTCTTTCTCATTTTATGAGTATTGAATACATATTTGTGTGTAGCAAGTTCCTTTAGACTTTCTTCTGTTCTAGCTCTTTTCAGGAAGTTCATAAAGTCTGAAGACAGCTTTTCATAGTGCATGAATGTTGAGTTGATATCTATAAGAGGGGATGTTGGTTCATTCAGTAGGGCGTCAATACAGCTTCTTGTTTTGAGAAGGGATGTCATGTGCTTCTGGAAGTGGATTTCATACAGTTCCGTCCCTCCACCCGTAAGGTTTCTAACCCTGGATTCATTAAAATCTCGACTTACCACTTCATCTGTCATTTTTTTTCTGTTCGTTTCTGGCCGCTTACAGATGATCGCAGGTTTCCACTGTGCAAACAACTTTCAAGAATGTTTCAGTTTATTGCCGACACTGACTCGCCCTGAGACAGAGTGGAAACTGCAAGTACATAACATGCATACATTTCGAAATACGCTTTACATAATTGTATACAGAAGTTCGGCAGCATGCGAAAATACATATTATTGAAAAGAGCATGATTGTCATGACACAAATTGAAGTTATTTGGAATGTTCTACCATTGATTTACAAGATTATATATAGTTTTACTAATTAATTACCCTATAACGATCTGCAGGCAAGTATTCTATAGAATCATTAGAGTCGGAATCAGATCCAGACCAGGGGGAATTAGACAGATTAAAAAGGGATTTAGAGACCATTCGATTGAAAAAAGTAAAGGGTAGTTTAATTAGATCTAGGGCTAAATGGATTCAGGAGGGGGAGAAATCAACATCTTACTTTCTAAATTTAGAAAATAGAAATTTCACTTCGAAAATCATACCTGAAATACAGAAAGATAATGGAAGTATTATTACCAACCAAGTGGATATTTTGGCAGAAGATTATTTTATGAAAATTTATATAAGTTTAGAAAAACTGATAATATAGAGTTAGAAACACATCTAGAAAACTGTAACATGCCAAAGTTAAGTAAAATAGAATCAGATAGCTTAGAGGGTGGGATAACTTTGGAAGAAGCTGGGAAAGTACTTAAAGGCATGCAAAATAATAAGAGCCCGGGATCGGATGGTTTCACTTCAGAATTTTTTAAAGTTTTCTGGGGAGAAATTGGTAGCTTTGTTGTACGCTCTTTAAATTATGGTTTTTATATTGGTCAATGTTCAGTTACTCAAAGACATGGTGTCATCGTATGTATTCCTAAGGGAGACAAGCCACGCCACTTCTTAAAAAATTGGAGGCCAATAACACTTTTGAATATTACCTATAAAATTGCCTCCGGGGTAATCACACAAGGAATAAAAACAGTTTTGAGCAAAATTATTAATGAAGATCAGACTGTGTTTTTATCAGGTAGGTATATAGGTGAAAATATCCGTACAGTGTATGATGTAATGCATTATGTAGAACTCCATATTCCAGGTATGTTAATGTTAGTAGATTTTTAAAAAGCATTTGATAGTGTTTCATGGGGGTTTATAGATAAAGTTTTAAAATATTTTAACTTTGGGGAAGATATACGCAAGTGGATAAAATTATTTAATAATAATGTATATGCTTCTATTAATCAATATGGGAATCTTTCAAAACGTTTTAATATTGAAAGAGGTTGTCGTCAAGGTGACCCAATATCTCCTTATATCTTTATTTTATGTGCTGAAGTTCTAGCAGCAAGAATTAGAAATAATGAGTTTATTAAAGGCATTGATGTAGAAAATGTGCCAATTCTAAATGTGCAATATGCAGATGACACTGGTTTAATATTAGATGGCTCAGAGAGGTCGCTTAATGAGTCTATCTCAGAGTTAGATAACTATGCAAAGATTTCTGGTTTAAACATTAATACTAATAAAACTCAAATTATATGGTTAGGGAGTTGTAAATACAGTGATGTAACATATCGGCCAGATTTGAATCTGCAGTGGGGGAAAATAGATTTACATTTCTGGGTATCGATTTTTCGGTTGATTTGGATCAAATACCTAGATTAAATTTTGACCAAAAAATTGTAAAACTTAAAGCACTTCTTACTTCTTGGAAGCGACGGAGCTTGAATCCAATTGGCAAAATTAATGTTATTAAGTCTCTCTTGATTTCACAACTCATTTATTTATTCACTACCTTGCCAAACCCATCAGAAAAATATATTGCTACAATAAATTCTTTATTATTTGATTTTTTGTGGAATAGTAAGTGCAATAAGATTAAAACAGATGTCATTATTCAAAATAATAATAATGGTGGGCTAAATATGATTGACTTATATTCTTTCATTCATTCTTTAAAATTAGGCTGGATAAGAAAATTATTTATGTTATCAGGCAAATGGTATCTGATCCTTAAGTCAACAATAGATCTAAATAAGTTGTTTAAATGTGGAAAGGATTATGTATATTTATGTGGATCAAGATGCCGCAATCAATTCTGGAAAGATGTTTTCAAAGCATGGGATAAACTAAACAAATTTAAGGATATATCGCTAAATAGACAAAATTGTATTCTCAAAACACCCCTTTGGTATAACAATGATATTAAAGTTAATAATAAATTTGTCTTTTATCCAAACTGGTTTATGGCAGGTATCTTGACATTGAATGATCTGATGAAAAATTCTGAAAACTTAACATTTATTTCATTTGAAGAATTTCTACAAAAGTTTAGAATTAACACTAACTTTCTATAATTTCATGGATCAATAGTTGCAATTAAACGCTATTTAAGAAATCACGAGTTCAAATCAGACAGACTTTCGCATCCTTTCATACCACAAATATTAGAAATATTCTTCAAGAATAAAAAAGGTGTGAAAGATTTCTACAAGCATATCATAACTCCAGCGACTATGCCTACTGGCACCAAAAAATGGAATTTGCAGTTTAACTTTGATTTTGAAAAGTGGTCAAAAGTATATAATCTTCCCTTTACAGTCACCAAAAATCCTAAATTAATATGGTTGCAGGTCAGAATTATTCATCAGATCTTGTGTAACAAATTCTTTTCTTCATAAAATAAAGATAAACCCTAGCCCTATGTGTACTTTATGTAATATGGAAATAGAGACAATTGTGCATTGCTTATGGGAATGTAGGGAGGTACAAACTCTTCTTCAGAAATTTGAAACTTTATTAGATCTACTTTTAATACCATTTGCATATAATAAGGAGTCATTTCTTTTTGGAATAGTTTCACAACAATGTAACTCAGTTGACAATGAAATTCTTATCATTATAAAACACTATATATACAAAACCAGATGTATTAGTAACTCTTTGAATATAAATGCTCTCATTAATGTAATTAAAGATAATTTTGTAGTTCAAAAATATATAAATAATAGTCAAAAGAATCATATTAAAATGCAATTTGAGTTAGGTTGGAGAAAATGGAAGCCCTTATTAGACTTATAAGTTCTTAGACTTAATATTATTTCACTGGCTCTAATTATCTCTGTACGTGTATATTTATTTTGTTGTAATTATTAATCATAACGCTAACTCCGCCGACGAC